ATAATTGGATTATTGTTTATTCGCTGACCTGGGCCAACGACGAACTATTTTAAAGAGAACAACTGTTAGTGAGTCTGTTCCATCTGACCTCTTTACTTTTGCATACCCAACCTAGCGTAATTATTTTTATTTCTTTGCCACACTCCTGGTAAACTAACTTTTTGGGTGGCCAGACCATTATAGTTGACATTTTAATTATGCTTGGTGGAATCACTGGTTTCAACAATGTTCGTAGGCCACAAAATTAAAGGTGTGGTCCTTTTATCGATTATGCTTGCTGCTTTGCGTCACGTGCATAGTTGGGTGGGCCACTGATCTTGAGAAATTTAGGTTCATGGGAACTGCGGTCATTCGTTCCATAGAGTGCGGAGTTAGTGTATATGTTTGCAACGCTGGACTAACAGACCACGTAAAATACGAAGATGAGTTAGTATTTCGTAAAATGCAGAACCACAGTAAATCGGAAATCCTCTGGTTGAACGTACGAAGACATGCCACCATATTGGAACTCACCCTGAAAAATAACAGAAGTGTGATGTTCAAATACAAGATTCATCGCCGCATAAAAAAAGCCACTCGCATTCTCCTTGAGCGACTGGAGCGGGAACCCACCAGGACCCAATAATGAGGCCAACAGGGCAACGGAGGAAACTATACAGGGTTATACCCAGCCCCCGCGTTCTCGTCCCCTGGGTAAAACAACGGCAAAAGGCGAAACTAGGGTGTCCTGCCTTGCACGCGGTAGCAAAGCTGCAAATTGCGGAAAATGATGGACAAAAATCCACGAATCTCTTGAAAGAGCTGTGATACTGTGAACCAGCCGGTCAATTTGAACTGAAAAATAAGACCATTGCTGGGGCTTTGTGGCCTTGGACTGTTGGGTTTATGGCCAGGTTACAAAAATCAAAGGTCCTAATCATGAAGTTGAGGAATTGGAAAACGGAACAAATGGTAGGAGAAATCTCACAATTACGGTGCACGGTGAAACAATATAGACACACTGGTATTGTTGATGATGCGAGGTAACTTATGAATTTTCCATGGGTGTTTGTCCAAGTGCCCAGGAGAGAAACCGAAATGTTCAGAAAATAAATATTAATGTGATACCGTTCCATATTCGTGTGTGCTATAGTGTTAGGCATGAGCATACGGTTACAACCGGAATTAAAGTATCACTGGAGGATTATGGGCACAGGGGGGTAGGAAAATGGACAGCGTCGTAAGGCATGTGCATCATCCGATGTACGTGTGGCCACATCTAAGCTGGCATGAACAGCAGAGGACAGTTACCGTGCGTTTTTTGAGAGAATATCGAGTATGATCAGATCGTTAGGATTTGAACATGGCGGACGGAAGTGCACTACTGAAAGTCCACTTCATCAGCCACCATCAGCTACCACACACATTCTTCCCTTTTTTCGTTTGAAGCGATTAAATACATATATAATGTAAAGAACATGTCACTTTCTGAATATCGCATTCACGACCAGCGCCTCTTTGCACCTTTTTACCATGCACGATTCGTTTTTGGGAGCCAATAGCTGTGACTAGGTGACTGGCTACCGTTATTCTCAATGTTCTGTTAATTTAACTTGGTAAACTCCAGTTAAACTACCTTCCCTATCCATTATCTCGGAGGCTGTTGCTGAGCAGTCTATCGTTTCTCCGCTATCCATGTTCAAATAAACCCCCTTTTGTCCTTAACAGAAATCCTATGATTGGATTTTCAAGCTGGGCTAAAAACTACCGCCGTCCT